TCTCATGTGCTCTCTCTCTCTCATTCTCTCTGTCTCAAATAAATAAATTTAAAAAAAAAAGAAGTGACCAGGGGTCCCAGGCAAGGCAGTGCCAAGGCACACACTCCCTATCCCCATCCAGGCTACTGGGCTGCATCTGGGACTGGAGACGGGACCAGCCTTGCAGGAGCCTCTGCCCGGCCTCCGCCCTCACTCAGCCGCAGGGGGCAGGGCCCAGGCACCCAGTCAGAGCCTCTCACATAAGCAGCCCTGTGGGGGGCGAGGCTGCAGCTGGGCTCCTCCACTCTGTCCTCCCCCAGCATCACGAGCCTCCAGTGGGCTGTCCTTGAGCCCTGGGCGGAGGCCAAGCCAGGCCCATAAATAGGGGTCTCTCTAGCGGCCTCTACTCCCCCTGCCGGCCTCCCTCCCTCTGCCTGCACTGCTGGCATCCCGGCCCTGGTCACACACTCGGCTCCAGGACAATGACCGCTCTGCACGCGCTGTGGATGGGGCTGGTCCTGCTGGGGGTCCTGGGAGTCCTGCAGACGCAGGCCCAGGCCCCCGTCTCCCTGCAGCCCAACTTCCAACAAGACAAGGTGAGGGGCTCGCCGGCCCGGTCCCCCAGGCGGCACAGGGCCCCGTCAGGGGAGGGGGGCGCTCTCTGGGGCCCCGTTGTCTTCCTGGGAAGAGGGGAGCTGAGCAGAAGGAGGAGGCTGACCAGAACCACCCCCGTCCCTGGGCCTGCGGCAATTCGTCAACCAAGAGAGCAGAGCCACTGTTCCCGGACCGGCAGGGAAGCACCTGCGTCCGTGAGGGGACACGCGGCACATGGGGACCCCGGGGCGGAACGCGTGCCCCCGCCATCCAAACACGGTCACCCTGCTAAGCTCACGACGCCCAGAGGAAAACAGGCACACGCTCCACACCTGGGTCCCAGGACACCTGGTGCGCGAGCACGCCGTCGGGGAGGGCCCACGGGGATGGCCCACGGGGATGGCCCCAGACACCCGAGTGCGCGCAGGGACGCGCCCCGCACACGCTCAGTCGGTCCTCCGGCCCGCGCGCCCAGCCCCGCGCCCCTTCCCGCGCG